AGTAGCAACATGCTAAAAATAGCACTCAGTGTTCTTATACAACCTCTCGTTCTATTGAATTAAATAAATACAAAGCTCTGCAGCTCCTACTAGTTCACCAGCAGTTCCCATGGCTGAGGTTAAAAATACACGCTTAAAAATCATAGGATTTGTTTATAAATCTATTTATTAACTTCTGCTTCATCCAGCCAGTTATGAATACACCCAAGGCAATGTGAGCACGTTTATCACCCAGAGGGTTGCTCTCTGGCTGCTTCTGTTCCCTGACAACGAGAAGAAATGAGACAACTCACCCTTGCCTAGTCCAGAGATGGCATCTGTGATCACCACTACCTTGTTCTGCACCGCTGACTTGGACAGCAGCCACCTGACTGACTGGTAAATATAAATAATTCCACTGATCCCTAAGAGAAGCAATGGTAGAGCAAGTACAGAAAAGATACCCATGGCTGTGGGAAACAAAAGACCACATGAGAGTACAGTAATCACAATATACATACATTATTTTTCAGTTATTCCTAGCTAAAAAAACCCAATGTTTTCTTACATAGAAAATCCAGTGATCAACATGCCAAAGCAGCAACTCGAAGTAGTAGGAAGGTTCTTTTCCAATCAATGGTGTAATATTGTTTTTAATAAACAGGGTAATATTGTTTCTTTATCTGTTTTCCTCATTTTTGTATGGTTTAGGCAAATCTGGATTCCTTTTATGCAAAATTACTGTATGTTGGCAAGACCACAATAAAATATACACACATATATATATGTATAAAATTATGTATATTCTATCATGCTTTGAGGCAAAACATAAAATAAACACTGAACTTTTAATCACATTGCTATTATTAGAAAACAGTGAAAAAGCTTTTAATCCAAATTGCAGACAAAACTCACAACAGAAGTCTTTTCTGTTCTAAAAGATAGAGAAGATACAATCACTTACCATGGCTATGAAGACTCCAGATACAGACACAGCATTCTATTGCATTTTGGTAAACCCTTTCATTACAGGTTTAATTAAGATCCTTTAGCACTTTCACAGAGCACTGACTTGTTGAGGCTGCTTGCCCTGAATGAGTGGCTATGTATGGCCTGGTGACAGAGGCACTGCCAGAGTAAATATAGCCTGCCCAGTGTGCTCTGCATGCCTGACCTATCCACCCCAACAGCCTGGGCAGCCATAGAAAAGCTCTTAGTACACTATCAACTCACCTGTACAAAGAACCACCTCTCCTTCTGCCCTGTGCTCCATTGCAGTTATTCATGATGTCTCAATTTCTTGTGATTTGCCTCCAAGTGACTTAACACATCCAAACATTTGTGTAAATGCCATATTAGGTCTTCAAAATCAAGCAAAAAGAAGTTGCCACACGACGTAATACCAGTTCAGCAATAGGAATGATGTATGAAATAATGCCAGTTCAGCAATAGGAATGATGTATGAAATAAAGTCAGTTCAGCAGTAGGAATGATGTATGAAATAATGCCAGTTCAGCAGTAGGAATGATGTATGAAATAATGCCAGTTCAGCAATAGGAATCATGTATGAAATAATGCCAGTTCAGCAGTAGGAATGATGTATGGAGGTGTCAGGGAAAGGTCTCTGAGCAGGCTGGCTGGGGAGTCAGTGCCTCACACAGAGCTGCTGCAGGAGCTCAGTGCTGCACAACAGACCAGGCTGGCATCCTGTGCTCCCAGGGGCTGCTTCTCACTCTTGGTGTCTGCAAGACAGATCTGTTTCTTTCCAATTTTCAGTTTGGAAATTTCAATCTTGGCAATTTCAGAACCATTCCAATTTAAGACAGGCGATCTGCATTTTACATTTTTACACTTACCTCTATTTAACATTTCCTGCAGAGACATTATCTGTTCACAGAACCACAGAATGGTTTGGGTTGGAAAGAACCTTAAGCCTCATCTTGTTGCACTCCCATGGGCAGGGACGACCCCCACTTGACCAGGCTGGTCCAAGCCCCACCCAGGTTCAAGGCTTCAAGCCTTGAACACTCTGAGGGATGGAGCAGCCACAACCTCTTTGGAACATCTGTGACACCAACCTCTTGAGTAAAGGATGTTCCAAACATCTTATCTAAATGTATCCTCTCTTAGTTTAAGGCTGTACCTCTTTGTCCTGTCACTATTTACCCATGTAAAAACTTCTCTGTTTTTTGGGTTTTTTTCTATAACCCCTCTTCAAGTACTGGAAGGCCACAGTAAGGTCTCTCCAGGGCTTTCTGTTCTGTAGAACATCCCCAGCTGTCCCAGCCTGCCTCCAGAGCAGAAGGACTCCAAGAACATCCAAGGTGAGGTCTCACAAGGGCAGAGAAGCTGTGATTGCTAACCTGACAACCACACATATTGATTGACCTCTGGAGTTCTAGGAAGAAGAATGGTTTACCATAAATCATCCCTGTTTTGCTCCTTAAAAAAAAAAAAAACAAAAACATATTACTGTCTTAAAACTGCAAGTTTTGGCAACCAGATTCATAGTTGTTTGTGCTGTGTAACTGGTCACCCAAACTCTAATTTTCATTTCTAGTGTGAGAATGCAATTCTACAAATGACAGTCAGTGATGTTGGAGATTTCCAACAAAGAACAAGGACTTCATGGTTAGTTCTGCAGGTACCAGGACAGTGGTCACTCTGGATGAGTGGCAATGGTGAAAGGTTATTCAGGTGAGTGTAGGAGGGGTGTTCAGACATAGTTTCTAAACCTAACTTGCTCCAGAAGCTACTGACTTCAACAGTCAAGATGTGTACTCTTGCCTCAGCTGAAGTTGCCTGCCAAAGAACCCATGGTTTAAGATTTCCAAACTACAGAATTCTATAATGTGTCAGCATGTGAAACACTGCATGCATTTCTAGCTAAAAAAGATATGAAAGAAAGATAGGAATAACTACCTGTTTTTCAATTCAAAATGTCATAGTGTACATCAGTTTCTGCAAGCCAATGTAAAAACACTGAGGCATGCCAGGCCACCTGCAGCAACAGAGAGGAAATCCAATTTTCCATCATTCCTAAAGCCCCAGCTATCTTCTCTTACTTTTAAAGAATCAGCTTTTAATAAACAAATGAGCAGTTTCCTATCAGTAACTGAGCCAGTCTGTTCCTTTTATGGAACATGATGTGTTGTTTGTTTAATCCATTCAGGGTTCTGGAAACATTTTTCCTGGAAAGTTGAAACATTAAAAAAAAAAAAAAGCACACACTAGAGATAGAGGGCTTCTATGAGTTCCGAGTGATTTGTTTCTAAATGAACCAGAATAAAGGTACAAAATTGTAACAATCAAGACTAGGAAAAAGTCAATTGAAAAAACTAGATAGCCCACAGTGTGTAAGACTGTAAAGATAAAATGCTATCATGTCCATTAATATAATGAAAAATTGTAAAGAACTGCCTGAGTCATCTGGGAAAATACAAATATACAGTGACTGCATTAAGCAAAACACACAAATCTTCTGAAGCACAGAAATCTGTCTGGTGAAATACCTGATAAATGTGTTATGCACTGCCACCTTCAGAGCACTGGTGGGAACTCCAGAGGAACAAGGATATTTAAAAAATTGTTCTAGAGGGCAGTTCCCATAAAATAGGTAAATTATCTACAAAGAAATTTGAACAGAAGTGAGGCTATCTCCCTCCCTCAGCTGGCTCTAAAAGTCTCTATATCCTGAGCTCCAGGAACTGTCCCAGATGATGCCAGAGATGAACAGTGTGTGTCCAAACCTGAAACCTGATGGAGATCTAGGGCTTATTTCCTTGTAGTCCTCAATTCAGGTGGCTGTTTGAGAGCATCAGCATGCACTTGCAAAATTACTGACATTTCACATTGTTCAAAAGTGCTGTACATTCTTTGATGTTTTCTTTGTGGAGCAGGGCTAAGGTGGGGTGGGGGGATGCAGGGTGCTGTTAGGGGCTCAGAGTGCTGCAGGAGGTGAGGCTGCTGTGGGATTTGGGATGCCTGGGAGCCCAGGGCTGGATGCCTGGTGCTAGGGAGGTCCAGGGCTGGGTGCCAGAGAGGTGCCCCTGGGTGCAGGTGCCACACCAGCCCATGCAGCAGCAGCTGGTGGATGTGGTCCTGCACATTAACACCTCCCTGCACCAGAATGAGCTGATGCACAACCCCCAGAAGTGGCACATCACCAGTGCCATGCCCTCCCAGCACACAAAGTCTCTCCAAGTGGGCCTGGTCCATTAACCATTTTTGGTCTGGATGTAGTGCCCCTCCTGGCTCTGGTTCTGGACCTGGTCTTGCTCCCAGTACCAGTCCTGGATCTGGATGTGTTCACCACGTTGGTCCTTGTCCCCAGCATGGTCCTGATTGTGGTGTCCTCCAGGTCCCTGTCCCCCTCCGTTGTTATCCTGTATCCCAGCTGTTATCCCAGTCCTGGTGCTGCACACGTTCACCACCATGGTCCTAAACATGGTTCTGGTCTGGACCCTGGCCCCAGGCCTAGTTCTGATCCTTATATCACATAAAGGGCCTTATGAGATATGAGGGGCCTCTACACTGTCCCCCAAAGCCCCAGATCCCCACAGATCTCTGCAGCCTCGGTGCCCTAGAGGCATCATGGCCCCTTCCCCAGCCCCTGGGGGTTCCTAGAGGCCCTGCCCCAGCTCCCCAGTTTGGAGATGAGGATTCCATGTGGGACCATGCCTAAGGAGTTACAGCAGTCCAGAAAGGTGGCACTGGTCAGTCTTCCCTGTCACAGGAGGCCACCAGACTGGTCACACAGCGCGTGCCCTCCGTGAAGCCGCGCTGCCTGGCTCGGGTCCCTCCTCACTGCCATGAGTCCCGTGCCATCCAACCTTGGTTCTCCACATCCCATCCCTGTGCTCTTCTCAGTCCACAAGGCCCTGCTGGATTCCGTACACAGGAGGCCTGAAGTGGCTGCTAACAGCTGTCAGCTCCGGTCGGCTCTGCGTGTTTAAGGACAGTTTCCCGGGCGGTCTCACCCACGAGTTCTTCAATCAGCCCGGCAGCAGCTCCCGCCCGCCATGCTGGGCGCCGCCACTTCCGGGTGCGGTCACGTGGGCAGCGCGTCATGTGACCTGAGGCGCGGCGGGCAGGAGGTGCGAGCGTCCCGGGGATGGGGGACCGGGATCGGGGAGACCGGGATCGGGGGGGACCCGGGATCGGGGGGAACCCGGGATCGGGG